AAATCTAGGCTGGGCAGTAGTCAGCTTACTGTCTCGGAATTTGTGGATTGCTAATACGCAGCAGTAGGCTGGGCACATGAACTGACCCAGGTGTGAGTAAATTCACGGCTCCCGGTGGAGTCGGGGACTCGTAGCTCAGTTGGTTTAAGTTGTTGGCTGTACTGGAGCCTTCTACCTTGTTGGCACGGGTTCAAATCCCACCGAGTTATTTCACAATCGAGTCAAATGAATTATTCAAAGCTGCTAAAAACCCTAGTGAGTTATAATTCAGCATAGGCGACTGATTTAATTGACGAATTGATCTAGCCGGTAAACAGAAGCAAGTTTCCCATAGCTCAACAGCAGACCAGTTGTTTGAATTTGTCTTCTGATTCCCAGATTTATCTATTTCTCATGGTCTGTTACTTAAATGGAGGCAGTCATCGCAATCTTTTCTGTCAACCTATGAAAGTCAAGGAAGAATATGTGTGGCGAGCAACGGATTAATTGATTTACTGTCCTGAGCTTTCGAACTCTTATAGGAGTCTATCTACAGAGATGCCATTTTTGAGAGTATCTTCTTCATCAAGAGGGGGAGAGAAATACGCCTTATTATGAAGGTAATATCCATAATTTTCAGCAAGAGATAGCTTTATTTTGACGAAAAAGATATTCTTTGGGATATAAAGGTAACCTTAATCAGTGATCTTTTGAGTCTGGTTCCCCAGCTCGTATTCGGACTAACAAGAAATGTGCAACGAACTGTTGTAACGGTAACCCAGGCCGAGATATCACCGCAGAATAACACCTTGTGTGAGTCCCCCAATGAAGAAAACGAAGAGAAGAGAGCAAAACACGGGAGTCTTTGAGTGTAATGGGTACAACACATTTAGGACAACAAAAGCGTGTAACACGATGTCCATCGAGCCAATCAGCTTCTCTCCTGGCGTAGGCGCTGGTACGATTAGCTGGTGACTCAGTGACTGAATGTAACTTGAAATTTAAATTATTGATTGATTGTCTGACACGATGCCTTCGCTTGCGTGTAGGCCGATCGATAGCCTGCTGTGAGCGCGGCTGCTTGCTGCCATTCGGTCCCTCCTAACGCGAACAACTCAAATTTCAAACTTGCGGAAAAAATCAATAGTTATTTGACGTGAGATCTCATTGGTAGTTGTTCATTGCACATTGCTTGTTAATCCGAAGACGAGCTGGGGAACCTGCCTCGAAAATTCACTGATTAAAGTTGCCTTTAAAATCCCATAGAACATCTTTTTCTTCAGATTAAAATTTTTTTCGGATGCGTGTTTGCCAGTTTATACGAAATACAGCTTTATTCACTGAGACCACAGGTTAAGTCAAGAAAATACTCAAAAACATATAGCTTTACGTTAAGGCTACAAATCCATTTAGAAGACAGGTCTAATCTCAGTTCCTGCATTTTGGCTTCTTTGCACGTGAAGTAGCCTGTGCTAGGAATGGCAGAACGGCAGGAGAAGCTTTGGCATCTAGTAGCAGGAAGACTTCACACAGCCATTAATCAAGTCGGTACTATTTTCTACTGAGTGAATTTGCGCACTGGGAAGGGACAACCAGGCAGAAGGCGCTGCGCGCTCACAACAACTTTCCGCAAGCAATATATACAGAGTCGCACAAGCATGACCTCACTCTCTCTGTCCCTCCTCTACCCACCGGTCCAAACTTTCTCTCACGGAGCGCGAGAGGCAGATTGACTGCCCCCACCGCCCCCGCACTTGCCCGACCAATAGCAGCCAGGATACCGTTGCAGTCGCCCGGTGAAGCAAATAATTGAGAAGGTACGCGCACGCGCCTGCCAAATTCCCAACCAGGGTAGCCAATGGGGCGCTGGGCAAACAAAGAACAACAAGAATGCTCTATGCACCCAGAGAGGAGAGAGAGAAAGAGAGTACTTTGCAGCTCTCGCAACACACAGGGGGTATTTTTTACGTCTCTCTTTGTGTGTTTGTTTATCCATCATCCAGCTACGCAGTAAACCACCTATGCGTTGCAGAGGGGAATGGAAACTTAAAATATGGTGTGTTCCAAAATAGGGCAAAGAAAGGGCGGATACGTGTTCTAAAATGCAGCAACAGTACGACATAACATCAGCTATCAAATGAAAAAAAAACCTTGGCGTATACACTACTACCGTATCGACTTATATAGATCGATATCACGTCGTAATTGCTACAGGGTAAATAATGTTTGCTGAATACGGTTCTGGGTAGTCAGAGCTGTGCTGCTAAAAACGGGTCACGCGGCAGATGCGCGTTGGATCACGAGAGCAGATCAGGGCTTGGAAAGTAAATCCTTTAACAAATGCCACATATAGGAGAGCGATGTGGCGTTTGGTGGCACGCCTAGGTGCGAGTTCGTGCCGCGCTAGCCACCTGAGTCCTCTCTCGCCTCCGATTTTGTTGACTGCGTCATGAAACCGTTAACAGGTGGGAGACGAAGAGAAGAGGGTGTGTGGCAGATGCTTCGCAAGCCTACTATAAATATAAACTCCCAATTCACCGTCCCTGCGCCCACGCTGACAGATGGCAGTCATCTTCG